AAAAAACAAAAACATACTGCGAATTGATTGTTAATCATATCAGTATATATACTATTGATATATCGTTAAAAATAGGTATTAAAAAGTTTTTGTAAAATTTAATTAAATAAAGCAATAAAGCATTATGTAAATTTTTTCTTGCCGAAAGTGAAGAGTCTTATGACGAAAAAAACTAGAAGGTTTCGAATAGAAATGAAAAGACAACGACAAAAATTTTAGTTAATTACTAAAATTTTACTCCACAAGTAAATCTTACTCTACAAGTATTTGTATTTCCTATAATTCTAATTTTTTCTTGCCGAAAGTGACGAGCCTTATGACGAAAAGAAACTAGAAGGGTTCGAATAGAAATGAAAAGACAACAAAAAAATTTTAGTTAATTTATTGAAATTTGGCTGACCATTTGCATAGTTTCTTTGTAAAATTGCACTCAAAAAAAATCGCTTTGCATATAGTAAGTGAAAATATGCATAACAGATATTGCTGCTAAAAGAAGTAGGTTTCTGCTTTGAAATAAAAATAGGCAACCTCAGAAATTAGGTTTATAAGATCGTTTTAACTTAAAAGCACGGCAAGTGCTTTGATTAATGTCACTTAAAAAATAAAAAGTGACAGAAAACTTAGAACTTGAGTATTGAAAGTTTGTGTAGCCTTGGATACTTGTGGGAAAACAAGATTACTTATCGCTTCTAATTTGACAGGCACGAGTTCTAAGCCTGGCACTTGTAATCAGGCTTATAAATATTTACTAAGACCACTGATAATGGTATGGTCAATCAAAATTTAATAAATTAACTAAAATTTTTGTTGTTATCTTTTTATTTATATCAAACCCTTTTAAAAAAGCATTATATTATCACTATATTTGTTATGCAGACAGTCATGGTCACATCAAATGTAGAATCGTTAAAGTGGTAAATGTTATTTACACATTTGAAAATAATTGCAAAAGATAAATTTTGATAAAAATTTGATCACCGCGATGATTTTTTTTTTGCACCTCGTCGGTTTGATCAAAACTGGATAAATGTCAGTAATAAATGTCAAAATTTTTACCTCCTAGGATATATATTTTTGTGTGAATATGTAAACATAAAATTATTACATTTTTAATTTAGACATAAAGCAAAAATAACATAATAGTAGTAACAGTATGGAACGTGCAATTATAATTAAGCTCTCTGCCTTCGTGATTATGACTAGAAGAAGAGTATCACCACAGAAATCATTCTACATAACGTGGGCCTTATACATATATTCTTTCTTATCTAACTTTTCTCCGCTTAAGTGGAGTGTCAGACTAAAAGGTATTAAGCTGCTCTAAACAATAAGTAATTTTGTTTTACAAAAACTGTACGTTTAAGAAGGGTATATATAGTATATATCTATATATATCTGTATATATAGTATATATAAGTTTAGCTTCCAGTTAAATAATTTTGGCAATAACAAACTAAAATGTGTACAAAATTTGCTGTGATAGTAAAAATTAATTTTTAATGAAAAAAGAAATCTAAATTAAATTATTTGAAAAAGGTAATCAACAGTTAGTTATGATATTGTACAGATATTTATAAATATATATAACTAACATATATATAAATGTATATTTTATACACAACATAACACATTCACAATCATAATAAAGCAATTTTGTTGAATCTGTGCAGATAATAATAAATTAAAAGCGGCTTTATTAAATCTTACGCACGTATTATTATATACATATATATACATATATGTATATAAAGTATGAGTACACTGTAAATAACCATAAAAAAATTTCTCACTAAATATTTACTGCGTAATATTTTTAATTAAATTAAAATTACCAGCAAAAAAATTTAACGAAATTGCGTTGGTTTTGTTTTAAAAAAATAAACTTTTTGAAAAGTTGTAAAGAAGACCAATAAAAATCCCAATTTCAAACCATTAACACAAATACTTCAGCTACTAAAACATGCATATATACATTGAAGTATGTAAGTAGCTGAACAAAAATATCTAAAAACTGTCTTTGTTGCTTCTGTTACTGATTAGATTGCTGTTGCAACAAACTAATGTTGCAGTTTATATGGGCAATATCAGTAACTTCTTGATTAGCTACAGTTTCATAGTAAAAAAAAAGTCAAAGTAAAACGCCAAAAATCAGGTATTCACGTTTCTGCCTACGTAGCACATTTTACTTCGATATCTAAAGCATATCGTACACTCACTCATATATCTAGATAGAGTAGGCCTTTTGTATTTAAGTTAAGCTATGAAATGCTTTGAGAATCTTAATTTTTGTAAAAAGCATAATTAAAGTCCGCCTTTCAGCTAAGAGGTGACAAGGCAAAAATTCAATAGAATTTTTCGATTTAATTGGGTGTTTATTAACTCAGATTTGTTCACATCAAGAGTAGTTCTCAGCGCACTTTAAGTTTTTTCTTTTTAATAGTTTTATTTTCATTTCTTAAAGGAAATGCGTAATTGCGGAATTCTTCTTAATTTATAAAAATTTATTTCAAGAAATACTTAATTTATATTATTTGAAAAAAGTGAAAAAATAATAAAAATAATTCATTTAAATTCCTCTAATACTACTTCCTCAAAACTTAACATTTCCAATATATAAAAACTCAACAGATATGCTAATAAGTATTTTTATACATAGTCCCTTAATGTTGAGATTATTTAGATACTGCCATTTACTGAATGATCAGATGAAAACCATAGTAAATCAATAAAAAAAATAACCATTAATAAATAGGCATGATTTTTTTTCTTTAATCCATATGTGTTACCTTATAGTCTTTATTTTGTTTAACTGCTTGTATAATTTTGTATATAAATTCATATGCTTGAAACGATCAAATCAATAATTCTAATATTTTTAATACTTTTCAGGTGTACTTTTTCATATTTTGCAATCGTTTTACGTTGAAGTTCACCTTGTTCTTAATAAAACGTGCTGTAAATACTTTACAAACTGCTTTATTATATATGTTAAATATTTTAGAAGCAAATACCTTAGCTTGGAGTTCACTTCGAACTCAAGTTAAGACATACCTGAATTTTGATATTTTTAGATACATTTTAATTACTGATAATTGGAATATTGCACAGTCTTTAGGTTGTCCAGTGTAGTACAACTAAGTTAGTAAAACTAATTTCACTTTCAAGTGATTTTAGACAAATTTCTAGCACATTTAATACAAAAAAAAAATGTTTTAAAGTGAAATGTAAAGTGCTCTCAAAGTCATTTATGTGTAGCAATTAAATTTTACTTAATTTCTATTTCTAGTGTTATTGTCATTTCTAAAACAGAAAAAAGTTTTCTATATTGCAATTTTTTTTTTTTAAATAAATTTTTTATTATTTCTGTACAACTGTGTATGCTATGAAAAAGTAAAACTATTTGACAAATTAGAAATGACCAAGTTAATGGTCTGCAAACTGTGATTTTCACTTTTTACTAAGATTTCAAATTGTACACTAAAAATTTAAATCGTTTTTATTAGTTTCATGTGTATATAAATTTAATATACCATCACGGATATGCTGTCAAAAATTTCTAGTCTCGTCTTTAAGTGTAATCCGTCACTTTAAGCTTTTGTGATAATAAGTCAAGTTTGTTGCTTAAGTCTTTTGATTTATTATGTTAACTATTTTTAAAGCCTCGAAGCTTAGTTAAAACTTTTGGAAGTTATTTTTTTTTGTAATATAAGAAATAAAAAAAGATGTTTGTTTATAAACTGAGCCTAATTTTAAAAATCATAAGTCGTAAAACCTGTCTTATAATTTAGTTATTTTTTATTTTTTTAATAAAATGAACAAAAAAGGTTCATTCACTTTGAATATCACAAATATAAACAAAAATTACAGAATATTAAATAAAAGTTATTTTTATATAGAAATAAATATATAAATATATTTGTGTTAGTTAAAAACATACCTAAAATGCATTAATTTATGTTGAAATATATAATAATAAAATGTTTTTTATTGCATGTAATTTCATTTTAGATGGATGCAAATTTGATGACAATCAAGTTGAAACTTAGTTTAAAATGATTTCGAAAGAATTGAAATAAAATTGTAATAGAAAAACAGGAAAAAATGAAAAATAAATTTACATATTTAGTAAAGTGTTTGTTAGATATATGGATAAAAAAACATGAACAACTTTTCAAAATGATTTGAAATTTAATTTGTTGAGCTAAATATTTAGTAAACAATTTCTTACTTAATATTTAACACCAATAAGAAATCAAAAATAATAATAATTTTAATAGTTGCTTAAGATCAAAAAAAAATTATCAACATCATTTACTAAAGTTATTGAATCAGGTGTAGAAAACCTTCTTATTACCAATTTGACTTATTGCTTTGTTCATAGGGTATATTACACAATAGTTATGTTAGTTATGTTAAATCTACAATTAGTTTACAAAATTTAAGTTTTAATTTAATTTATTTGCAATAAATAGTTTATTACTTTGAACTAACGAATTAAATGCATTTGTGATACATACAAAGAAAATTCTCTACGTAAATACCCGCTATTATTGATACATTTTTTCCATACATAATTTTTGCATTTTCATTGTTGCTTCTTGTTTCTTTATGCTACTCAACTCAACCTGCTTTCAACTCAACTTTTAAGTCGTTTACACTGCATTTGATTATTTGATTTCTTTCAGGGAACGTTTAAGTTTCTAGGTATTACCACGACTTCAAATGTCCAAAATTTAAAGAAGTTTGATAAAGAGCAATAAATGAAAATAAATGGTAATAAATGATAGCATTGCTTAACACTTATAATTGATACGAAATTTGTTACTCGGTTATACTCCATAATACTCTACATTGATCCCTTTGGTAATTACTTGCAATTAAGTTTATTATTGTACTAGAAAAGTCCTGCCTTATGAAAGCTTTCCAAATGGATTCTCTTTTAATAGCACTGAAGTCGTTATTGTGATCACTGAATACAGCTTACAGTGAAGTGTTATATTCTAGACATTATTGCAATATTTTTCTAAGTGTGCATATATTGTCTACTCATTAGCAAGTAGAATAATACGATTTAAGTATTGTTGCGCAACAATTTTGTACCAGAGTAAAGAAGCAATAGAGTCCATTTTGTCATTTTTATGATGACCGATTTCTCTCAT